ATATGGTAATCAACACGTTCATTATATAACTTGAATAATGAAATTTTTGAAAATTTCAAAATTTCAAGCAAAGTTTTTTCTGCAATGAGTGGGCTGCTCAGGTTGACTTGTGGCTGTATTTTATCTATGATATATACATTTCTGAGGAACATAAGCTGCCAAGTCTAAGCAGTTAAGACGCTAGAGTCGATTGAAATTCACGAAAAATTATCAAAAAACACTAATTTTTAGCACGCTGCCGTTAATCAGAGGTATTGACTGAGCAAATTATCGATGCTTACACTTAAACTACTATCTTTCCCCCTCAGAATTCCGCTTTAATAATGTAGTTATCTTCAAAAAGAAAAATTTCAGAGGAAGAGTCGATAAGGCTTAAAAATATCGATTTTTTAAAGTCTTTATTTAAATAGGTGGAAAAGAGAGCTTATAAAAATCAAACTCGTGTAAATGTTCTTTTTTGAGACCCTAAGGAATAGTTCCTCGAAGTTACACCAAAATCCAAGATGGGTCAGCTTTGCCAATTAGACGTTTTTAAATGGAATGACTCAGCATTGATAAATTATAAAGAGATTTAATCAAAAATTATTTAAATTTACCGATAAATCTTAACGAGATAATATTCTCGAACAATTTGTATATTTAGCCTATACAAACATGTAATACGCTGTAAAATGAAATTGTAAACTACTAACATAATATGTGTGTGAGCAATATTTTGACAAATAAATAAATGTGTTAGTGTGTAGACGAAAAAATAAAAAAAAAAATATGTATATGTATATAAAAAATATGTAAATAAAAAAAGAATAAAAAAATAAAATAATAAAACAAAACAAAATCAAACCCAAAAAGAATAAAAAATAAATAATTACACAGTTTTGTTAACCACTTAAACCAACCATTATAACCCATTGAACAAAATACATTTTAACAGTAAAAAAGTCTGGCTAATTGATCTCTGCCAAAGCAAAAAAAAAAAGATATCAAATATCAAATTTTATCAGTCTTATACGAGGTTTGACAAAAACAAGGGTACTTTACTCTTCATCAAAATTCATTATTTGACATGCCTCGTATTATATTGTAAAAATTGGACATCCCATGGCTGCATTTTAGGTTTCAGACCATGCACAACTTTTTATGAAGAATAACTTTTTTTTAATTTTTTTTTTAACAGCAAAATTGGCTCTTGAACGCAAAGAAGTTCGTCCATCTTTTTTATATTTAACAAAGTTTCTTTTTTCCGCCATATCTCTTGTCAACAAAGAGGTATCTACAAAATGAATATTTTTAATTGTACATAATTACGTCCTTTTAGAATTCGTAAAGTAAGTTTTGCAGTTTTGACTGACCTTTATATATAATTTGATATATTTTCTAATGCAAATAAATCTTTCTAACTTTATATCATATTAAAATAAAATGTAAGCTTACCAAATATGTAAAAATCTAAAAATCGAAATTTTTGTAAATATGACCTCTTGTCTTAGCAAGGTAAATTAGACCTCTCAAGTCCTCTCATTTTACTCTAAAATAACTGAATTTTGAAAATTGGAATCTAAGCCCTCTTTCACACGAGGATACCGAATGTGAGATACGCGTATCCGAGATACACAATTGCAGTCGAAAAGTTGGGCTGCTGTATCGAATTCACGCATCTCTTCAATTAGTACTAAAATAGTCGCAGTGCCATGTCATAAATTTTTGAATTATGTATCTAGAACTGTATTGGTACTGTGGTGTAAGTATTAAGAAAAAAGTTATCTGTGTGTCCTGTATCCCATAAACAGGGATTAGGCTTAGGACTTGGCGATTACCAAAATAAATAATCGAGAGGGGCGCCAATAATTCTTTTTTTTATTTAGAAAGCTAGTAAGAATTATAAACTCCAGCTTTATCAATAGAAGATTAATTCAAACTTATATATAATTTAAGTAAAAGAGATGTGTTGTAACCTTTAAAAAATAAGATTTAACATATATAATTGAATTTGTTTATTTAAATAAATGCAATGATTAAGTAACAAATAGGATTTTACTATGCTGGTACCAACACCCTTAAATTTTAAATCTCATCGTACGATATGCAACATGTTTTAGCCTCGTAAATTTTTAGTATATGTATATGAAGAGAGCATCTCCATCTAACATTGTAACATGTCTTCATCAGTAGCTCCACGAGCCCCAAACACCAATATTAATTATGCTTAAATTGAAACAGCTCTGTGATGTCGGAATTGAGTAGAAATAGCAGTGAACTTAGGTAGTTAGGAAGGAAAACAAAAAACTGCTTACATTCGCTTCCTAAACAAAAAATAAATTCTGTTTTTCACGAGGCTCTTGTATGATATATAAATTAACTTTTAAACAATTACTTTTTAATTAAATCAAGATAATAAAAAACTAATTAATATAAACAATGTGCAATTCCAGCAACCAAAATGAATTTCCAAAGCATATTTAATAAATTTAAATTAACTTTCAAAAAATAAACCTATCAGTAACAAGAAGTAGAAATGTAATTTCTATTGAGATATTTTTTAATGACATTTTTAACTCAGCGCTGTTTTTACAGTCACTACACTGCTAGTTGGTTCAAGATATGATCGGAAAATGAAATTTCAAGAAACGATATTGATATCAACTGCCAACTAAACTTCCACTTCACAAAATTTCCCTTTCATAGTAATATTGCGTGTGGCGATATATACATTTTAAATTAATCGAATACTATTTTATACAGGATGTCACACAACTAAAATAACATTTTTAAATGAAATTTTAAAATGTTACACAGTGTCTATCTGTCTTAAAAGTTATTAAATCAATAAATTTGTTAAACATTTTTTATCTAGAAATACTACAATATCTATTAATAATTTTATCAGTCTATGTGCAAAGTATATCATAATTATTGTGAATTTCCTTTTGGGAGATGGTTACATTCATAAACAGTGCAGACATATTCCACACAATATTGAAAAGTTACGTTGACTACCTAGGGTAGTGCCGCTAGCTACTGCGGAGGAAGGGGTGGTCCGCTAAAGTTTTATTCTTTAGTTATAATTTAAAGTTTGATGAATAACATTTACCTTATCATAGTAATAACTTACCATGAACCCTACAAATACAATATTTTTACCACAAATACCCTCACTTAACTAATAATTAATATTTTATTCTTAATGCGGACCCAGAATTTGTTCAAAACCTACGAGACATGCAAAATTCAAAATTTTACTTTAGAGGTGGAAGAACCCAATTTAAACTGTTACAAATGCTTCTACAATCTTTTGAAATAATCAAGAAACAATCTTATATCTAAAGAACAAATTTCAAGTTTAAAGTAATTGGACCATTCTAAAATATTAAGTAATTTGTCAAATAATATATATCCTTTAAATTTAAATAACTTTTAAATCGCCACATTTAATTTCCTTCAAGATTATTAAAAAATTACTAACTAGAAAATGAACAACACGAAAAAAACATCAGTCCATGATTTACTACCCTTTAATATTTCTAATTGTAATGTCATTATTATTAATTTTTGTAATAGTTAAATTTGAAATTGAAATAAAAAAAATACGTTTATACAGTGTGTCTACTTAAGTTGGAACCATATGGAAAACATGTTTATTATTGATTTTGGGAAAAAAAGTTATTCTTGATAAAAAGTTCTGCATGACCCAAAACTTAAAATACAGTCATCAGATATCAAATTTTTCAAGCCGTATACGAGGTTTGTCAAAAAATATGAATTTTGCTCAAGAGTAAAGTACGTTTATTTTTGACAAAATCGAAAATTTTCATTAAGAAAAGTTGATTAAAATTGAATATTACATTCAAATATGCAATTACACCGATCTATCTGAAAAAACAGATTTTCATATTTTTTATAAACTCTACACTATACACATTGATTGTAAATATCTGAAAACGTTATAAATTACGTTAGCTACTATAAACATGATACGCTTTCGTTTTGTTGATGTTTGTGAAGAATTTAGCAAATTTCCTAATGAAAATTTTCGATTTTGTAAAAAAATAAACGTACTTTACTCTTGAGCAAAATTCATATTTTTTGACAAACCTCGTATACGGCTTGAAAAAATTGATATCTGATGACTGTATTTTAAGTTTTGGGTCATGCAGGACTTTTTATCAAGAATAACTTTTTTTCCCAAAATCAATAATAAAAATGTTTTCCGTATGGTTCCAACTTAAGTAGACACACTGTATAGTTGCAAATTATACATAAAGTGTGATTTGTGGTTTACTCATTGTAGTCGAAGAAAAAGTATAATGTGCTACTCGAGTAGAAAACCTATTCACAATTGTGTAAATGGTTACTTGTTGCCTATACCACTACAAAAAGAACTAGAATATTATAAATTTTGTCTCAAACAATACAATTAGAAAAATATTAATGTAATTTTAAATATTAACAAATAAATCATTTTCAGTTATCAAACGAGATATTTTACGAAAACCAAATAATGAGTTGATTTGTAGGTAATTTTCTGGTATTGATTTTGGATTTTATTCTTTCCTTAAAATGGATATATTATTTTTAAAGGAACCAATAAGCGCCAAATTGGAGTTTTGAGATGATAATGCTGTATTAAAATAATAAGTGTAGAAAACTCCAGCTTTGTGAACTAGTGTCAGATAGTTAAGTTAATATGTTATCATAGGCACAATTTTATAAGTTCAATAAGCTAATTATAAACATGAGTTTGAAGATATTTTTGGCGGATGGTTCCCGTTATTGAAATTAGGAATTTATGTTTCCTAATGTGTCGTTTGGTTCATTGGCCAAAAGATGGTACTCTAGTAGAGTAGAGTAGAATTTGATCTTTTTATACAAGGTAAATTAAACAGTCACTTGGTGCCTTCAACTCATTTTTGCCAATTTGACGCTTGGTTCCTTTTGGATAAACATAATCCAAACAAGACACATACTTTTTTCTGCTTGTGATATTTACATAATTATTTTAGGTACTTTGAGGTTAAAGCATCTTCTCAATTCCCGGGTGATGAGATGGTCTTTGGCTGCCCATGACATATGTTACACTTGTGCGCAACACGCTTATTTTTTTAGTTTAGGAAAATGTATACCTGTTATTAGAGGCAATGGTGTCTATCAAGATGCTGTAGATTTTTGTATAGAACAATTGGCTAAAGGCAGCTGGGTTCATGTTTTTCCAGAAGGTTAGTAACATATTTTATTTATTTATATTTAAAAAGAGTGAAAGGATAATTTAAATTTACTGAAAATGACATACCATTGGCATTTAGTCAAAGAGCATAAAGTTTTATATGAGGGTACAAAATAATGAAAATGTGCCGCCAGATTTCTATGCTTTGTCTGAATACTTCGTTCATATCGGACGCAACTAAATCATCGGATATAGATTCGAATTGACTTTCCATATTTTTGGCCAGTGTAATCAAAATATGACCGCATCAATATCTGTTTACATCCACAGACATCATCGGCATTTATCGACTTGGCAGATTTAGTTCTCTTCCAAAAATCCTTAACGGATTTCTGTCTATTCAATACTGTCGACACAATCAAGTGTATTTTGATTCATTTAAAGTAGTGGAAAATATTGATTCCCCAAATCCCTATGTCCGTTCAAAATGTATTTGTAATCAAGTTAACTCGCCTGGATCTAGTGACGTCTCGGTGACGTTATGCAGGACTGACGAGCTGAAACTGGGCTATCCCTAGACACCTTTTTGCGACTTGTCTTATGACAAGCTGAGAGGCAGGTCTCATTTACCCCAGGAGGATGCACAATGGCCCAGCCTTTATTGCCCAACAGATATAAATCCATTTACAGAGCAACTCAAAAAATCATTAATAATATAGTAAAGGTGACAAGTATAGAAAAATTTTTAAGCATTGTCATATTTAGTAAAAGTAAATGCTTTAATACTTTCCAAACTATCTTTGAAGATATCTGATGAATTACAATATAAGTTAAAGTTATTACACATGCCATTGAGAGGTAGCTTAATATAATATTTGTTCTAGATCTGTTACAATAAAAAGTTAAATGATGTCTGATATTATACCGGGAACATTTAAATTAATTTTTGCTAAAATAACAGGACAATCAATCCATTCGTGATTTTGTATAAAGAAGTCAAAGAAGCTAGAATTCTCAGGCTGTCCATATTAAAACTATCCAAAAGTAGCTGATAATCGATTCCTCTTGGAAGGTAGACACCATTTACTTTGAAAGCTAAATATTTCAGAAACTTCCTTTGAATAGATTTAACACTAATGTGAATATTATAGTAGGGATACCAGATAGTTGAACAGTACTCAAGCTTAGTGCGGATGTATGAATAGTATAATGTTTTTAATGCTCCAATGTCTCTGAATCCACGACAGTTTCGTATAACGAAACCATACATTTTGTTTGCATCAGAAACTATCATATTAATATGCTCAACAAAACTTAGTCTCGAGTCAAAAGTGACACCCAGCTCAGTAATAGAGGAACAACGTGACAAAACTAAACCATTAATATTATAATAGAAATCTGTAGTAGATCTTTTTCTGGTATATACCATCACTTTATACTTAGATGCATTCAGCATTATCCTATTTTGCATGCACTAATCTGATTATCTAGGTCCTGCTGAAGCGCTAAACAGTCATAAGTGTCTAGTACTAATAGATATATTTTAAAATCATCTGCATAAATAAGTCTACAAGAATTTAAATGGTGATCGAGATCATTAATAAATAACAAAAATAGCAACGGTCCAAGGTTTGAAACTTGAGGTACACCTGATTTTGCGAAGTACACTTGTGAAGAATAACCGTTATGAAAAATAAATTTCTGCCTTTCCAGAAGATATGATTTAACGAATTTCATTAAGGCTTGAAAAAACCAAACTGGTTCAACTTATCAATCAATATCCCATGTTCCATTCTGTTAGAAGCCTTCGAAAAATCGATGTAAATAACGTCCACTTGTCCACCTGTATCAACCGTTCAGATAAGTTTGAGTCTTAATACTTTCAGTAGACTTTTTGTTTAAGAAACCATACAGTGAAGGTACAGGCCTGTCACTCCCTATACTTCCCATGTTAAATTCTGGCTTAAATCACAGTGACCTCGACACCTCTTTCCTATTGGTCTGGGCTATTTTTGACAAGTCTGGGGTCACTAATCAGTTATATGTACGTTAGGAAAAATATTTGAAAAAGTTCTAAAAAACAGGGTAGTAAATTTTTTAAATGCTAACAATATACTATCAGAAAAACAGTTCGGATTTAGAGAAGGCTTATCGACAAATGATGCAATAGGGAAACTCGTGGAAAAGATTACAAAATGTTTGGAAATAAGTAAACCTGTGATCTGCGTATTTCTGGATCTCGCCAAGGCATTTGACACTGTGAGTCATACGCAAATGTTGGAAGTCTTGGGGTATGCAGGAATAAGGGGAACAGCAAATGATTTATTTGCTGATTATTTACATAATCGAAAACAAGTAGTAAAAATAGGTAACGTAATTAGCAATGAAAAAATAATTAACTATGGGTTGCCTCAAGGAACAGTATTGGGACCCATTTTATTTACAATGTATATAAATAATTTACTTACAGAAAACACAGCTGGACAACTTCTTAGTTTCGCAGATGATACTGCTATTTTATACAGTGCTGATAAGTGGGGCGAATTGAAAAATAAAGCTGAAAAGGATCTGGAAAAAATTCTAGATCTGTTTCGACACAAATTATTGACAGTAAACTTTGAAAAAACGTTTTTTATGCCTATTTAGAATTTTTCCAAACTCTAACCATAAGACAAGATATAATAATAGAATGCAAAACTAGTTATAAATATTTAGGAGTTATTTTAGATAGACATTTAAAATGGGATGCGCACATTAATAATATAACGAAAACACTAAGACAACTTTTATATTGTCTAAAACATTTAAAAAATATATTAGACCAATCATTCTTGAAAATAATTTATTATTCTCTTGTTGAATCTCGTTTACGTTATGCTATATTGAGTTGGGGAGGTGCTGCTAATTGTCATTTAAAAAACCTGATTTAAAAACGGGAATAATTTTTGTCTCTTTCCACTGCTCCAGGAATCTTTCTGACTTTAGTGCTAAATTAAATATGTTTAATGGATAAGCTATATGGTATATCATCAGAGCTAGAGGTCATTTTATTGCTTAATTTTTTACTAGCTTGTATTGTGATTCAAATAAACTAGTCCTATCCTGCTTTGACTCCGATGATGTTACAAAAACACTTTCGAAGAATTGACTAAACTTATCTACTATTTCTTGAGATTTGGCAAATGATTCATCTTCAAACAACATAGGAATACGAAATACTTGAACTTTTATTTTTTGCATTAATATATGGGGCAACTCACCCTACCCTCCTTACAGATACAGAGATTACTCAACTTTCCATTGTGATATTGGTGGCTTTATTAAGGCGATTACAGCACCCCTTATAAAGGAATTAAAACTTTAAAGTATACACATATATAGATAATATTACCTCATTTAATTTACCAAAATTTTAATTTTTTAACAAAATTTCTTTTTGAAATATCCTTGTCCGAAAATTATAAGGGATGCTGTATTCACTTTAAATGCAACAGTCTATGGAAGTTATTTTTTGATGTAAGTGATTTAAAGACTTTCTATCTAAAAGATGATCTAATGGGTTTTTGTTATAAACATTTAAACTTCAAGTAGGGAACATTAATTATTTAAATCTGTAGATTAGATGTACAATAAGATAAAATTAATGAAACAAAAACAGGAAACAAGGTTATTTTGCGTTTTTTTACCACCCTGTATTTACATTAACAAATAATTAAAAAAAATATATTTGAATTAATTTGTAATATAAACAGGTGCTTATTAAGTATAATTATCATTTCAATTATTAATTATCTTATTTTTATGTATTATTTTTTTATCTAACCTTTGGACAAATAAACATAAAATGCGGAAATCAATTCTTAGAATACTTATATGTTCCTCTTTGTAATTATAATTTTAAAGTTCATTTTTTATAAAATGCAGAATATTGCAATGATTAAATTGGTCAAATTAATGCTTAGTAACCATTAAAAGTATTATATTTCATTTCTGGAAATACTCTGATAAGAACGTTGACATGTAATTCATATTAATGACATCAGACACTAAAATTATATTTTTGTTTAAATAATTATTTTCTAATATAAAATAATACTGTTATTTCCGTTAGTACTATTAAAAGCTAAATTCCAAACACTAAAACTACAATGACTATTACATACAATAGATATATTACTTTTCATTTCCTTGTTTTTATGAGGCAATTTTAGTTAAAAGCCATTTACAGCTGAAAAAAGAAATTCTTCAACAATATAATAATAAAAAAACCATTACAGTTGCGACATTTATTTTATTGTTTTACTAATCCATAGAATCTTGCGACACCTTGTCCTGTAAAATGTCGATTCCAAAATCCATTTGGAAGTGAAAAGTTTTTGAATGATTATATTATATACTCGGGTTCAAGTTAACTCTTATTTAAAATTAATATTTTTTGTTGTTATCTGCGCAACTAGACAATAATAAGAAATGTTTTATAGTTTTTCATGGATTTAACACAATTTTTAACATTTTTATTTAACGAAGGCTTAAATTTGCACAAATTATAGTACTCTGTAATAAATTTGTGTCTTTGTACTTGTCTGTTAAATTCATTAAAATGTGGAGTTACACACTCTTCAAGTTTAACTGTTAATATAAGAATGTTTTTATATCTGTTTTATTTTGTGTAAAATTACAATCTTGTCCGTTCCTAATTTCTACTAAAATTAAAAACACTAAAGAAAAATAAAATAAAATAGGAATTGACAACTTCACTATGAAACAAGATAAACCAGTTTTCTAAATTCTGATTAAAAGTTCATTTGACGAAAAAAAGATTATCTTAAATGTAAAAGACACGCTTACATTAAACAATGTAAGTTTTAATCATTGCATAACGTACCGAAATTCTCTGATAAAATTTCCTTGTTAAATTAATCAGCTCACAGAGTGTAGAGGATTATACACGGTAGTGAACTGAATGAATACTCTGCAACTTGAATTAAAAGGTTTTATTATTCAAAAAGTAACATCAGTGAAAAATTCAAAATACAATGTCAATCAAAAAATGAATTCAACTCAATAAAAAGAATGTAGAATAACAATAAGGGTAATGGGTGGTCCCCATACGTTTGTGTTTATTTTTTTCAACACAAAGTATCAAAGTAAACTCTCTAAATAACCTGGACAGATCACGTAATTACTCAGGGTTAGTACTAGAATGTCACGAAGTTTTGGCCGAAGTATCCATCAACAATGTGGTCACCTTAAGAGTGGTCAAGGGTGAGAGCCACATTGAAAGGTAACCGTCTTGCTGATTCACTAGCCAAGAAGGCAACCAACTAAATACTTTTTGGACCTGCTCTTTCCATTGGACTGAAAACATCGGTAGTGACAAACATAATTGAAGAACATTCCCTTGTGAAATTCAAGGAAATGTGGAATGAAACAAACGGCAGAGTTGTCAGGGAACTTTTAAGTTATCCCTTGTACATTGACTGTCGAGATTCCTAGACAGAAAGTTGATGTGCTAGTTCAACAGGCTATTGTCAAAATCCCTGGAATATAAAGAAGTGGCAGTAGCAATTTTCATAGATAGTGAGGGAGCTTTTAATAATGCCCAAACAAATCTATAATTAACGCACTAGCCATGAAAGGGACACCAGTAGTCCTTATAACAAGGCTAATATCTACAGGCTTCTACTGTCTAGGCTATGCCGATAACCTGGCGATCGTCGTAAGAGGCAAGTTCGCAGGTACAATATCGAAGCGCACAAAACTGTTCTAAACATCGTTAACAAGTGGTGCAATAGTCAACTTCATAAAACGAAAAATACTGACAGGACTAGTCACCAATACTGGAAAGAGTGAAGATTTCATTTGCTGAAGAGGTCAAATACTTGGGAGTCATCTTTGACCACAGGTTAACATGGAATCAACACTTGCAAAAATTCACCCAAAAGAGCAAAACATCCTTCAACTTATGTCGAAGGGTATGTGGAAAAAATTGGGGATTACAACCGAAAATATCCCTATAGAGTCATAAGGCCGATAATAACCTACGGGTCGGTGGTATGGTGGCCAAAGACTCGGCAAGCTGGTGCCATTCGATAGCTCAATGGTATTTAAGAATAATAATCTTTATTTTATTTAAATTTGACAGCCTAATATACATATAAGATGGATAATGGCAAGTATGCCTGAGTACCACGGGAGCCATGAGACTCTCAAAAGCAGCTACAGAAGACATGATAAACCTAACCACTACATATATTCATTCAATGTCCATCACTCATAAACAGTTTGCATGGACGTGGCTGCAGCGAGTTATGTAAAGAGTTGGAAAAAGACCAAATTAATTCTCATTACACAAGGAATGACAACTTAAGACTCCCTAGCTACCAGACAACGGCTTTCAGAAGGTTTCCTTTGTATAACTGTATTACTATCTATAATGCTTTGCCTGAGGAACTAAAACTCAAGCAACATATGAATCTTTTAAAAAAAAGTTAAAATATACCTACAAAAAAGCTCTTTTTACTCTATTACGGAATTTCTCAATAAACCTGTGTGATACAAGTCTGCTAAAGCAAATTATTATTATTGTTAAATTTTACATTATATATTTTTTACGACTTGTCTTATGTATCTTTTTATGTATTGAAGGTTAATAAATTATTCTATTCTATGCCTTCAGACGAAATGATCCCAAAATATAGCTTTCAAAAGCAATATAAAGTAAGTATACCAGACAAGAAAGTGTGGACGGGAAGACCTATTCATGCAGAATTCACCTGGTATACAGATGGCTCCAAAACCCATGAAGGTTCTGGAATATAGTACCAAGCTAAAGACAAAAATCTTACTAATCTTAGATAAATATGCGACAGTATTCCAGGCAGAAATAGTTGCAATACATCACTGCGCAAAAGAGGTAATAAGACAGAAGGCAAATTGAGAACCATTGTCATACACTTAGACAGCCAAGGGACGTTAAAAGTACTAGGTTCTATGCAGGTACATTCAAAGCTTTTGTGAGACTGTTTGGAAGCCCTAACAGAGCTGGGTAGTCAAAACAGACTAACCTTAGCCTTGGTACCAGACCACATAGGACATAAGGGCAACGAAGAGGCTGATATACCAGCCGGAGAAGGAGCCTCGAAGGCTCTTATTGGCCCAGAAACCTTCTGTGTTGTCACAAAGATAACTCTCAGAATATGCACAAAGCAATGGATGTTTAAAAAATATCAGAAATGGTGGAAAAATTTACCAGGACAGACTGGCTAAAGAGTTCTTAAAAGGACCGTCGTTTACACTCATTGAGCATCTACTAAGCCTTAATAGGAAAAATTCTAGAATACTAGTAGGTCTATTAACAGAAAAAATTGTAAGCTTAACAAATATATGTATGATATCCGTCTGACAGAAGAGACATTGTGCTGATTCTGTCAGGAAGATGAGGAAACTGCAGAAAACGTATTGTGCTACTGCGAAGGTCTATCAAGACTGAGATTCCTTACCCTTGCAGAAGAAAAACCAAGGGCAACTAGCTACGCCGGAGAACTACTTTCTAGTTTATGGAGTCTACTACAAAAGACCGAATTGGACAAGGTACTTTAAACAACGATTAAAGGATATCCACAGTAGATCTGAAAAGATTGAGGTGGGGGAGGCCACATGGTCCACAGTCCTAATTAAATATAATCTTCCTAGACAGAAATTTGATGTGCTAGACGGCGTTCATACTCGATCTCAAATATTCAAATACCTCTCTATAGTATCGGTATATATGAGAAATGCATTTATGCATACTAAGCCCATAACTTCGTCTGTGTGAGTTGTTTTTAATGTACATTAAGGGATATAAACCTGTGTGTGAAAATTTTGACGTTTGTATTGACAGCAGAAATATACAACCCATCACAATATCGAATGAATAAGTAACTGTCATATTTTAGCATAGGCTTTGTTTTGTTGGATTATTAACAAACTGAAATATAGGGGTGTTTATAACAGAGAACGTACCGTAAATTTATTTTGATATATGTAGTTTATTGTGAATCTATTGTCATGAAATTCCTATTCCGACCCTATGCCTAAAGCAAGCGCGGCCTTTAGAAGGCAACCAACTCGTGCTCAAGGCGACGGAATGTTCTGGGAATGCCGCTGCGGCTCGAGAAACGGGTAGAAGTGTGCCGTTGAGTCAGAGATAGAATTTTCGGGACGACCGTCTGGAGACTTCTAGTAGGAGTTGGACTTATTATAAATAGCCGACTCGTCGGCGGACAGTTTAGTTTAATATAGAACATTGTATTGAAAAGTTAAAGTGTAAGAAATAAATTAGAATTGTTAGTTAGTGTCTAAGTATTATATAAATTAAATAGTACATCTGAAATAAATTGTAAATAGTGTGTTTTTAAATAAATAAACTTTCGTCACACTATTTATTAAAAAAATACCTGCTTTGCTGTCCTTGTATGGCTTATGGCTCCTGTGCCTGAATGTACTCTTAGCCTTACAGCAGCTTTTACTCAGAACACTAAATTCAGTCGCGAATAGAGCAAACTTGGTTTCAGTTTGATATAATTTTTTATTTCAATATGTGATTACCGAAAAAAATCGTTTTGAACCTGGCTTCAAGGATTGCTGCAGTCTTTGAGATAATTTTTTTTTTTAATATATTTGAATCATTGGTTTTAGACAATTGCATTATTTGATGAGAACCTTTTAATTATTAATAAATGAATTATTTATTGCAGGAAAAGTAAACATGACAAAAGAAAATATGAGACTGAAATGGGGGTGTTGGCAGAATGGTCTACGAATCACCCATAACGCCGATAATAGTACCGATATGGCACATAGGCATGGACGAAGTTTTGCCTAATGAGCCCCCTTATATACTGAAATTCGGCAAAAATCTTACATTCAACTACGGCCAACCTTTGGATTTGTCCGAAATGGTGGCAACGTTGAAAGCCCAAAATGCGTCAGATGAACAAGCCAGGAAGCAAATTACGGATTTCTTGCAAGAAACCCTGTTGAAATTAAAGGAACAAACCGAAGAATTACATGTAAAAAATTTTAAGATCAAGTCATGATAGTGATCTAAAACTAGGGTGATATATTAATTGTTTTATACCCAATCGATAACTATATTGGGCTGTATTTAATTTTATCTTTATATTTTATATTGTTATGTCTAAAAAAATGATTTTTACTTATTTTTAACACATGATTTTTACGTTAATTGTTCTGTTGTGGTTCGGTAAAAATATCAGTATTATTTTGAATAATTTATTATTAAACGTGCTTTCTTTTTCGTCTCGAACATAAACTTTATAAGGTATAAATGTTTGTGTATGTGTTGGAAGTTTGATATTAATTTTAAACTCTACTGGATGGCTACATGATTAGATATACAGATCGGTTAAGGGATAAAAGTTTTCTATTGAAGACGGCAATAATATGGTGTGAGAAGATCCCAAATATACGGTTTTGGAGTTGCATTGAACATCGACAATTTAATAACAACACTAGAAACATTTTTTAATGTAATACAAATTCCAGTTTCTCAATATATATGTTCAAGGCATTAATTAATTCTCCTAAATAGTTACCTGGCTTGTTGATCGAGCAACGTACCTAATATTCTGGAAAGCGTTTCTAATTTTTGTTCCTAGTTTTTCTATATTTTGAGTTTTGAGGAGTGTAATTATAATAAACAATGTTTTTTTTAGTAACCCTACAAAAAATAATCTAAAGGATTTGGAGATCTTGCAGGCCATTTTATGGGTTATTAGGTACCCAACTAGTTTCTCTAAAACGTTTCTTTTAGATATTTTCGAACTATTCTAGTATTAAGTGGCCCACAACTATCTTGCATGAAATGTATAATATTTCTTAATATTCAAAGTCATCTTATCAAGTACTTTTTCTCAGCATACAATTTCTATCTAGGAATAGCAGACCAATAACTATACTACCATTTTTGTGTTTTCCATCACAATGTTATTTATGGTATTATATAAAAATAAAAAAATTATTTGACAAAGAAAATAAGCAGATTGTTACTAAGAATTTTCCTGATAACAATTTTATAATATCGAAACGTATAATAATTGATAGAATATATAATAAAGACACAGATGACGAGTGATATTATTTTATTTAACAGGTGCATGTACGTTACAACAAAAACGACACATGAACAACAATTGACATGACAAGAGACATGAGAATGACAGACAATAATACCAACTTAAACCTAAGAATACAAAACAATACTGTTTTAATTGTTGATTTCCAACACTCCTTCGCAATTAAAACAAAGTAAACACTCATATATTCCCTTGAACCTAGACAATTTCTATGTTTTGAAAACAATTCATATTTTAAATTTTTTGTTAAACTATCTGCAGTTTGCTCTTTAGTATTAATATACTCTACTGACAGTGTTTTATTAAGCACTAAATCTCTGATAAAATTAAATTTTACATCAAAATGTTTGAGACATTTATGGGTTAATTTAATACATGATTGATTGTCTTCATTAATAGTAAAAATTGTTTTTGCAAAGCCAAAATCGTTCAACAAATTCGATATTTAAATCCCTTCTCTAGCTGCTTTAGCAAGAGCAACATATTCCGATTCTGTTCAAGAGATGGAAACTGTTGACTGCTTTTTAGTGCTTCAACAGACAGTTCCCCCAAAAACTTTAAACAAATAACCTGTCGTGGATTTTCGGTCAGTCTCATCCCCCTGCCCAATCTGAATCAGCATATCCTTCTAACCTGATGGAAGCTGTGTTATCAAAAAATAATTCAAAGTTAATTGTAAGTTTTATGTATCTTAAGATATACCTTTCAATAAATTCCACAACTCGTCAGTTGGATTATTTTGATTTCTACTACAATATTTAACTTAGATCAGGACATGTTACTAAAGTTGCATACATTAATCAGCCTACTAATTCACGTATGGGTTTTTTTGTTTCACAGCTTCGTTTAAAACAGAGTTCATAGGAATTTTTGACCCATTGCAGTCTTGAATTCTAAATTGACATTTTTTAGATAATCTTTTTGATTTAAATAAACTCTTTCTGAAGTTTTTCTTGTATAAATTCCCAAAAATGTATTTAAATCTCCAAGATCTTACATTTCAAATTTTGTTGCTAGTTTTTGTTTTAAATTTTGTATATCAATTTCGCTGTTACTGGCAATAATAATGTCATCCAGCAATAAATAAATTTCTATATTATTATTATGTTTAAAATACAGACAAGGATCATTTTTTGACCTGATTAGTCCTATCCCAAAAATAAAGTTATTAAATTCCCTGTTCCAACAATAAGGTGCTTGTTTTAACCCGTACAAAGCTTTGTTTAATTTACATACAAACCTCTTATACTGATTTAATCCCTCAGGTTGATTCATATAAATATTTTCATTAAGAGTACCTTGAAGAAAGGCCAACTTGAAATCCATTTGCTGTACTTGAAGATTTTTATGATTTTTTATTACTAACAAGGTTCTTAATGTTGTAAGCCTAGCAACAGGTGCCAATGTTTCCTCGTAGTCCAGTCCTTCTTTTTGCATAAATCCACGAGCTACCTGGTCTTATATTTTTGAATATTTCCTGCTTGATCTTTTTTTACACGAAATACCCATTTGCTATCTATTAATGAAACATTTTCTGGTTTATCTACTAGTGACCATGTTTTATTACTTTCTAAGGATGTCATTTCCTCAGACACAGCCTGTTTCCAAAATTTATAATCACTTCTTTGTTTTGCTTCTTCTAAACTTTTTGGGATATCATCAACAAATGATTCAGCACTCACTGCCAAGTGTTCAGGATCCATTTCATAATCTTGAAATCTTACAAAATGCTTCTTCTCTCTGGTCCTTTTTCTTAATTAATTTTCTTCTGCTGTGTTTCCTTCTTTCCTTTGGAGAGGTTCTGGATGCAAGTTTTCTTGTTCAATTTGTTCTTCATAAGGTTCTGGTTCCAAGTTTTCTTGTTCATAAAGTTCTGGCTGTAACTTTTCTTGTTTATTTTGATCCCTGGTTTCTTCATTTTCTTCAAGTACAGTAAATATATTTAATGCCAAGTCCTGGATGGTTTTATTCTCAAAAAATACATCTCTGGCATTAATTATTTTATAATTTTTTGGATTCCACAATCTATATCCATTATGAGTATAACTTAACATTATCATTGCCTCTGCCCTAGAATCAAATTTACAATTTACTTTTTCTTTTGGTATTGTAACAAAGGCTAAATAGCCAAAAACTTTTAAACGCTCTAAACTAGGTTTTTGATTAATAATCATTTCAGCTGGTGTCATATTATTTAAAGCCACTGTAGGACTCCTGTTTAATAAGTATGTTGCACAAAGTATTGCTTCACCCCAAATTTTTTTTATTCAATTTAGACTGCAAAATCATAGCTCTTGACTTGTCCAAGAGAGTACGGTTAACCCTTTCTGCAATACCATTTAACTGAGGTGTATATGGTATTGTGTTTCGAATTTGAATACCTTTGGTTGTGCAAAAACTTACAAAATTGTTATTTAAATATTCCTTACCATTGCCACAAACTAAAAATGAGATTTGAAGTGAACATTTAGCTGTTACAAACGCTTAAAACACTTAAAAAACATCAGATTTGTGTTCCATTAAATAAACAATTGTGAAATGAGTAAACTCATCTAAAAAGGTAACAAAATATTTTTTATTATCATAACTTGTAGGGGTAATTGGTCCACATATATCACTATGTACAATTTCCAAGGGTCTCTTTGCTTGTTTAACAGAGCTCTTATTAAACGGTAATCTAGTGATTTTACTTTCAACACAAATTTCACATTTTTGACTTTTATCAAAATTTCCCTTACATTTCATACCTTTTACCATATCATTATGTAACATTTTTGACATATTAGAATACCCTAAATGGCCTAATCTTATATGCCACATATCAATATCAGAACAAAAATTTGCCTGGCATTTTTTATAAATTTCGAATTCAATTTTGAACAGGTTATTTATCTTGTTTCCAATAGCTAATACTACAGAGTTTCTTTGTATTTCTGCCCCATCTTTTTCAAATGTAACTTTCAACCCCTGTTTAACCAGACACTGAACAGATAGCAAATTATGACGTAGGTCCTTAACAAATAAGACATTTTTAACTTCTGCTGTTTTATGAATGTTACAGTCTTTTAAAGCTACACAAATACTACTTATCTTTGTAGCACTTAAAAATTCTTTTGATTTTGCAACATATATTTTTATAGGAATTTTTAAATCCTCAACACTATCAAAGTACGCTATATCATTTACTAAATGATCAGTTGCCGCCGAGTCTATATACCACTTTACAGTCACCTTACCTACAGCTTCAACTTCGTCATTATTGTCATTTACAACTGGAAAAGCAACATGTTCTTCATCAGATAATTGATTTTCCACTTCGTGTGCTTGCCTTCTGAATAAGCATTCTGATCTCATATGCCCTATCTTTCCACAATGATGACACTTGAGCTGTCTAAAACTTCCGGATGACCCTGGCTTCTTGAAACTTCCATAATCCTTTTTTGAATCATTAAAAAAGCTGCTGAATTTGGCAATTCAAACTTATCATGTTTTCTTTTCATTTCATGATCTAATAATTTGCCTTTAACAAATTCCAATGTTAACTTCTCAGGTTCCACAGTTTCAGGTGCTGTTACAATAGCATCATAACTTTTCGGTAAAGACAGTAAGAGGGGACAAACTATATCTGTTTCAAATTATTTATTGTTTCGGCCTTTACTTGATGAAAATCCATTTAATTTTGAAAGAGTAAAACCAAATTTGGTAGATTTTCACACTTTTATTTTAAAAATAAAATTTTTTAAAAAAACACTAACATGACATGAAAAAGAAGTTGTACTTCGAAACATATGTCATGTTAGTGTTTTTTTAAAAATTTTTATTTTTAAAATAAAAGTGTGAAAATCTACCAAATTTGGTTTTACTCTTTCAAAAATATATCTGTTTCTTCTAGTTTTGTACCCACATATTTTAATTCTCTTACAATTTCATCAAATTTTCGTCTTCATTTAATTTCATT